AGTTCTAGTACACATATTAGTAATACTCATATGGATATATTTACCACTGCCAGAAGTCGAGCCAGATAAAAAAAAATAAGTTAACGTAATGCATTTATATATTCAACGAAAATTGTAACCCGGCGACGTGGATCCAGCCTATACAGAGCGTGGTAAACTAAACGAGCAATACGCCATTTGTCTCTTTCAATATCTATACAAAATATTCTAATAATCAATAGATGACGAGGTAAACAACGTTAGCTATGCGGCAGTATAGTGAATTGTTGGGAGGCCTTCAACAGAAGTTTCCGCCTAGAACGAACCTGCAAGCATCATGCGGCACTCGCGATGGCCTTATTCTTCAAAAATCAAACCATAATCCGTTTCAAGTGAAGCGTATTTTGCCTGCCACTTCAACACATCGATGTTTCTCGTCGTTTAAACAGCATAGTTCGATAATGCATTGACCAAGACAGATTTTTTTTTCCTTATTTTATTCATTTTTACAGCCGATCAGATTGTCGCCATTGTTTAAAGACGAGTTAGAATTTTTCTGCTTCGCACACTAGAGAAGTTGGTACAACTGCCATTTATAAGGACGGTCTCGAACAAAGTTTGCCTTCGGGAGTAACAGTACTAGTGACTATTAAATGACAGAGTAATGGAAACACGTGAACAATATTATTTAAAACAGAGTTACCTTAAGCTATTCTGAACGTTTTCAAGGTTTTGACACTTGCCAACAAATACTCCTTTCCGACAGAAAGAGAAGAACATCTTCTTTTGTTAATACTCGTCAATTATCAATTACAATAAAAATCAACAATCGCATAGGGAATATTTAAAGTCAAGCAAATAATATACTTGAGAAAAGGGCCAAATACTAGTGGCCGTTCATATAAATGTCGCCTGCTCTTAGAGATTATCGAAAAATCGGTACCGTACGAGTACTTTTTTTGTATACGCACCCACCTAGCCGAATGTTTTCGACTCTGTTACGCGAGCCGACTGCCCTTATTACCCGTAAGGGAGTTCTCCTAAATAGAACGAGAGAATATGTCCTTCGTTTGTTCTAATATTCTGTGCTATGCACCGAAAGCTAGAGGTGCTAGTAAACATCTGAAAATCACAGCCGTTAAATTCAGGTGTCTTCGGCAGGCTGTTTAATGAACTTGGTAAGGCAAGTTGAACGTTACGTCGACTGCTAAAAGGTTCAACGTCTATATATGTATACAGCAATATAATATAAGTACTTACGGGAATATCCAAATTAATGTCGCAGTGATGCTACAAGTGGAGCATAGTTTAATGCCTGCTCGTTCGGAATTTCGAACAGGCGGAGCATCTGTGTAGAGCCGGTGACGCCATATCATATCTTATCAAACACCTGTGATGTGTTCAAATCTCCTCGTCAGTGACGAGAAGATAATGACGCGAGGGCTTCCGACTAAGGAGCAGGAACGTTGTAACGTTTTGGTAAACTTTGGCACAAACATACGCCAAATAGTAGCATTTCGTGTGCGTTTCTGCAGAAACGGGATTGTCAGCTCTGTCCATTATGCGAGGTCCCTGCTTGTTGGCTAGTGAAAGCGTCTGTACGAGTTGTCGTCGATGGTACTACACTTTCAGGTCGATATATCATAAACGCAATGGTTAAGTCACTCTGTGCTCTCCGTTTTAGATGGCTAGCTACGAAATCAAGATAACATCGTGCTTAAAAACGTCCTCTAACTCTCCTACGACCTCCATCATTGATTAGCTTTCTCATATGCTTTGAAGAATGGTCCTTTCGGCCTGTCTACAAATTGTGACAGAATTACTATGTGATTAGGGAAACTCTGCTGATCAAAAGCTAACGTAAACTGTATTTACTGTTTAGGTTCGTTCTGTCTACTCTAGATAATTAGCCATTAAAGAAGGTGATATTTAGACATGTGAGAACTGGCCTTTGGACTCAAAACGTACACAATGGGCAGTTAGCAGCTATAATTGGGGCGTGCATATTCGTTATAATTATTCCTTGTATAAAACAGTCGATCCTTTCCTGGCAAACCTGTCATCTGAAGTATGACGCTGACGTTCCATGCACGTGTAAAGATCCATACTTCCTGGAAACTTATTTTTCTCCGTGGTTCACTACGTGCCTGATCATATTACGGTTAAGGATTTCCCGTGAGAGTGCCACGTTTTGGATGAACTGAGAACAGATTATTTATGAGGCTCGGAATATGGCAGCTTAATTAACGGTATTAAACTACTGTGCATCTGAGTTTAGACTGAATTTAACTACATTTTCTTGTCCTGGTAAAATGCGTATAAGGAGGCAAGGCGTCGGGGCTACCTTGCAGACAAAAAACGATTTGTTATGGGTAAAAAATACAAAATTGTGATAGAAATCGAGGGAAGGTGAAATAGTAATTTGTGATTTCTATGACAGAGAGAAACAGAATGTAAATGTCAATTTTGTGTCTAAGAGACGAACCGTGAGTCGTCGGAAACGTACGTACATCAGCGTATACTTTCAATGCATTTTTAGTACGGTTCATAATAGTTAACCCAGTGATCCCAGGCTGCGGGGGTCCAACGAAATACGTCAGGTACAATCAATCTGATTCTCAATTCCTAACGAATTTCGCTAGCTCCCTGTCTTTCAAGTAGTACGGGTATTCCACTCCACTCCACACTGGGTAAACTCCAAATGCATCGTCCAGCGTCTCTGTCGAATAGCCTGAGATCGTTGTTGAAATTGCGTTTGGTTTCGAATGGTCTGATCTCCGCAACATAAAACGGACAGCAGTCTTTGCTTGCTAGTGGCGGCCATATTGGCATACGCTACCCCGTTGCTGATTTGAAGCAGGTTACGTGTCATCCACGGTCCATGTCAAACTAATTAAATTTACTGCGGCTTTTAGAACCTTTAGTAATTTTTCATGTTTTAAACTCGGCCTTCATAGTTGTTTAAGGCTTTTCGTGCTCCAGTGACAATTTGCTGTCATTTCATGAGTCAAGGAACAGATGCGTCCTTTGTTTGCCGAATGTGCTTGATCCGTGTTATTTATTACCCACGGAATTAATTAATAGTAAATTATATATTATGTCTGGTACTAATGCGTGCATTTTACTGTATTTTTAGACCACTCGAAACATAAGTCTGTGTTAAGATTTCAGTGGGCTCATATACACGTAACATTACTTATTCACACAGATTAGATAGGATTTATCTGTCACTAACCGGACACAAACCGGTGACGCCCTGATCTCTCTAAGCCCAACTTGCGTTGGTCCATTGAACTCCAGGCGTAATTTCTGACAAAAAAAAAAAAAAAGTAATTTCAAACTACGTATTATCAGACTGTGGCATGCAATAGCTTCTGCGGTGCATTGCGAGCAGGTGTTTGTGGGTCTAATGTCTCTGATCTGACGGCAAAAAAACTATTTTCTTGCATTACAGGTAAGTGACAATGCGATCCTATGAATATTTTTTGCATCTTTGCAATCCTGTAAAATCGAACTGACCCAACAGGCAGAAATAGGTAAAACAGTACGGTTCGGAGGAGCCTTTATTTTAATAAACCAACCGGCGTAGTTAAACGGGTTCAGACATTTTGTGAAGCGTGGTATATATAGGCGTTGATGAACAATTATAATAATTGTTATCATTACGGGCATAACGCTGGATTAGAAGCGGCCAGAGTCATCTGCTCTTGTATATGAAACAATATTCTGTACAACATTCCGTTACTGAATATGTGTGGTACATTAATTAATTATATATTATTATATTACGCTAATTAAATATATAAGACTTATATTTTATTAATTCTGTGGCTTTATACGCTTTAAGGCGAGGCAACAAAATAGGTCTGTGAGAGCTGTTTGCCCATATCCACACAGTCTAATTATCTAAAAACACAGAAGATATCCCGTGACCTTCATAGCCGTATATACACGTTAGATGAACACAATTACAAAACGAGAAGTGCTGGGAACTAACGATTATTAATCAATAAAAAAACAGATAGGCTTATAATAAATTGCAATATTATTTATAATGCCAAATTTAGTTTAGGAAAAATGTCTCACTGCATTCCTATCTACGATGTGCGTTAAATATGCAACTTAGCCAGATCAGTTTCGCATGTTTATCCTTCGTTTACCGGCTTTTCTAGCGGATTTTATAAATTATTATACTGATTTTTTAATTGTTACAGTTATCTTCCATGCCTTTTCATTTCAGCGTTAGTCTTTGTTTCCTGATACGATTACCTACGTATTTCGGCTGTCAGCCTGACCAGAATTTTCGCTGTTCCAACAGAGCTGGTCAACTGGGGACCCTTGTCTAGCGTTTCACAGTTTAGCCATTCGTTTCATCCTCTCACACGCCGGACTCGGTTTCCGTTTTGCCGTTGTCATTCACAAACAACAACTAGATCAGTTGTGGTTAATTCCGATCGAGCGTTACCGCATTAGCGTAATATCCGTATTATAGTATTCATATTATAATATAATACCATAGTATTAATGAACATCGTATAATACGCATCGAACGCTATCGTTCGCACGGCCTGTATTGTTGACAACTGACCCTGTCGTCGCTCATCTTCGCCTGCACGGAAATTGCGCGTGAACTCCGTGTCACCCCTTATTGTCCTAGAGACATTTCTATACTGCTGACGGCGCTGTTTCTCGGCACAGTAATGTCGTGACGGTGGCAATGGATGCGGCCAGCCATCGAGCGCAGACACACGCACACAGACACACACACACACACACACACACACACACACACAGACACACACACACACACACACACGCACACGCACATATACGCACGCGCGGACACGCAGCGACTCATTCGAGTCAGAAAAGATCAGGAGATGGCAGAAAAGCAACGAAAGGAGAGGATCATAGAATGAAGCAGCAGCAGCGGCATCATCGCAGCGGCGGCTCCGCCGGGGCGCAAACGCCGCCGGCAGAGACAGACCATCCCCAGCGGAGAGCGAAGTCGAGCGATGGCTGCTTGGAGTTACGATGTCGGTTGAAGCTGATTCGCTCTGGCTGCCGCTGCCGCTACTGCTGTTGTTATTGCAGCAGGAGCCTTCATTCGTGCGTCTGTGTGTGTGTCTGATATAGCCGGCGTTCGGTTCGACGTTCGGGGCCTGGTCGGATGCTGCGAATTTGTTGCTTGCGGCTGTAACAGCAATAGCACCGCTGAAGCGATAGAACGAGCCACAACAGCGAGCCGCGCTGCGGCTGCCGCCTCTGCCTTTGATTACCTGCACTTACCGCGCTGATGCTCGACCGGCTGATGCTCTTTTGAGGGTCCGTGCTCCGAGGGTCTGTTGGCTAGCTGGTTTATTTGCCTGGCTCCATCGTCGACGGCGACGACGCACTCCTCGTTGAGCGTTATGCTCTTCGTCAACTTGGCAGTGCGCTGCATCGCTTTCCGTAGACAGAACGCACCAATCGCGCCTTGCCTCATCAGATCAGATGAACAGGTAGACCAATAGACATCGCTGCAGGACCTTCTTCCAGGTGGCATCGCTGCCATAACCAAGAAATCACTCGGTCTGGCAGAAACGGCGGCAGCTTCTTGAAAGGAAAGCTGTTAGCGGCGTTGCCAAACTGTGGATTGCCTTTAGGTGTTACCACTCACTTCCATGTCGGCGAAAAAAAAAGACAAAATCCAGCCGGCGGTAACCGGGCTAGAACTATTTGTTGATGGTGGTTTGTCGCGTAGTTATATGGTTGGCAGCGCAAGATAGGAAAAACAACTAGAAGTATCTTTCTTGCGTCACCTCGAATCCTTCTTCTGGAGCAGCAGGCAACGCTGAACGGCAAAGATCAGGCGGATCCTAACGCCGCTCGAACATAGGTCAAGGTTCGAAGAGAAAGAAACCAACTTCAATTCTCGTATCAGGTCTCGCCTAACAGTCGTCAGAGTAAGTGAGGTTTTTTGTCTCAACTTTCTCGTTGGCGTCTACTCGAATCTCTACTTCGACGGCTTTTGTCAGTGCACTAGTGAGAATACAGCCCCACGTTTTTATCGTTGGAAAATGGCGCATTGCACTGCGTCACGTTATATTGCTACATCTGTATTCGGTTTATCGTGTGCAGTGTGAAGTCTGCGTCGAACTTCCAAGTAGAAAAATACAAACGGAAAAAAATAGTTTCGTTAATCAAAAAGAGCGCTTGGCTTATGTAGAATTACGGTGAATAGATTATTGGGTTGCTTCATCACCGTCGCTTCCGAGTTAGCGTTTGGTTTGGGTCGAGAGACTCCTTGAAAGGACGTTGGAAAAATTTACACATATAGCGAAAGTTTTCTATGAGCTAAGTGGCCCCATCAAGAGACCGTTGAAATGTATGGCCGTTACAAGATGACAGTGATTTCGTTGATCCATTGTTGATTGTTACCTCCATTGATCATGGCATTCACCGTGGTGATTTGGTGATAAGTTCGTTGGAGCGTGTGATGCATAAACGGATACGTCATTTACGCGCTATCGACAACCGCCGCCACGTCATTTATTGAAGACGAAAACGGTTCGCGATGCTGATCTCGATGGATAATACTCAACCTCACGTGGAGCCCGCACTTCATAATGAATCGGTTAGATTTTTGTCTTATTGTATTATTCGGTATATTCGACTTGTTTATTGTGCAGGGGAGTGCACGTATTTTTATACAGTATGAGTATTTTTATGAGTTCGATAGATATTATAAATCTATAAAAATAATTAGGTGCACAAAAATTAAAGGAACAAAGATAGCTGACGTTGAGTAGTAGAATTATGAATTGTACATCAGTGTACAGCCCATTTGCGAGTTACTAGAACCACACTGTTTTACCTTGTAAGTAATGTTTATTTTTTATGGAGACCAACGACGGAAAAACGTAATACTGAATATTTTCTAGTTCAATTCAACCGAACTGCAGAAGCAAATATAAAATTAGGTATGGTTAATGTCATATAATTAGCCCACTCATTCGAATAAGGCGTAACGAAGCCGGCGATAAGAATTTGTCCATTTACAGATGCATTAATCCGCAATAACAAAGGATTAACCAGCTTTTCGTTTTTACTGGGACGTAAAACTTTAATATTTTAGTTCATTGTATATATATCTATATATACAGATAGATATGTACTTATTTATTGTTGAACTACAACTAACCAATGGCCATGGTTAGGGTACCTCTCTCTTTGACGCACGTTCTCCATAAAGGAATTTTCTTAGAAGACTGACTGGTCCAATTTTTGCTTGAGACGTCACGTACTTGCACACTTCAGATCGCCGCTGAGCTTTAGCCTAACGGGGGGTGGGGTAGGCGCATAGGTGCTATGAGGTCAACACAAAGTCATTCTTTCGGTAGCAATGATCTGTATTTCAACTTATCACAAGTGTCAACATTGCCTTGCCCACCTTCAATATTCACGTAACTTCGACAGTACGAAAGGCTGACAGAAAGTTGATAGAAGCAGATATATTCACGAACTTCCAGTAAGTTTCATACACTTTACAGTATAGTAATAATTTGTGCATTGAAATCCCATCAATTGTCAGCAGTAGCCGTCGACCTTGGCGGAAGGTCACAGTAGACTAAAGAGAAGATGGGAATTCAAGCGGAAGGAAGGGGGCTAAAAAGGGATACGACGGCATTTACAATGAGCGTCTCTTTCTCTAAACCTCCAGCTTAGTTTGTCCTAGGAGCGCCTAGCCGTTGTTCGGAATGTGACAAGCGACTGACCGATGCGACAAACGGTCCGTCCCCCGTACGGTTCGACAATGTGAAGCGTATTGAATTTGATTAGAAATGATAGTAAGTAAAAATATCAAGCATCGAAGTAACCTAAGAACCCCTTATAATGAGTATCTATTTGCTTTTCTGGCAACCAAATATGTCAGATATTATCGAGATTTATTGTTGTTCTATTAACGGCAAACGTACGATACATTTGGTTCGATGAATGTCACAGTTGGTAGATCATGGGATGAAATGATGTACGGCCGTCCACAAGTAGTTCTCGTAATTTTGCAGCGACCAAGTCAACAATAACCAAATGTCATTTTGGGCATGCCCAGTTTTGATGATAAGATTGCGCCCGAAGTGAAGTTGAAACAGATGAGTCACTGAATAACGTCCGTAATAAAACGGTCGAGGTAAACCTGGAGGTCACAAGCAGTGTTTTTTGTCTGTCGGCAATAGGTTCCACAAAACGAGCGGTGCTAAACCCCTCGAGCTGAACGACACGTTACGAATTGCTGTTTTGATTCATGTTTGGCGAAAACGTATAACAAACCGAGGATAGAGTAAAATATGTAATTATTATTATGTGTAAAATTTTTCAACTGGAAATAATCAGTGGCCAGTTCTCTACTACCGGTGTTGCTTGCCCTGATTGTTGTGCCTAGAAGTGGTTGATCTTTTCCTATTCGATCCTGATCGACCTATTCTACACACATCTTTGCTTTGACCTTATATGACGTTTAATGTATGATTTGACACGTTCCTTGCTCATGTCATTCGGCGCTAGAAACAACAAGCTTGCCAACTGTCGTCAGTATCATCTAAAGCTTTTGCTTTGGCTCTGCTCTCGGCAGGGGAGTGCTGGTGTTTCTGTATCTCCTGCGGGAGAGCAGAAATAATCGTCGGCTTGATGGTGACTCATGGGTTGCTTCGTATCGGTTGAGTAGGCATCATCATGGTCACCACAGCACGAGGCACTGTTGTTTACAACATTTGTAGTTCGGCCTTTTCTGGTTCGATCTATCCGCCCGTTTGTCCCTGTATCGTTTATTTCGTCTTTGTTCTGTTCATCCGACTTCGTCGTAAATATAACTGCCTTTCATAAGACTGCCTGACACTCTGTGCACTGTGCGCGCTGTATACGCAAGGCCTGCTGCTTCGCCTATGAAGAAAAAGTAGGCCTAGACCTCCATCAAATCAGTGTCGCATTCACACACGTGTAGACGTTATATACCGCTAGATAAAACGTGAGATGTAAGGACGTCCGCAGGCGTCATCGATCTGGAGACCACGTGGGGCAACACTGATAGATCGAGCAAACGCTGAATCGCTTGAGGCACAGTGGTTCAGTTTTTACGCGTTCCGACGTCTTTACAGCTACATAAGTAAAATCGTAATATAGCACTGGCCATAATGTGGTTGTGTAAAGCGTGCTGTACGACACTAAAACGCCTACGTCCATGGTTGATGTTGTCGTTGTTTCATTGCTGAGACTGACTGCATTCGAAAAGCGGACCAGAATCGAAGTTATAGTTTAAGAGGGCTTAATAGCGCCGCGTTGTTTCTACAACGATCTGTTTGTCCTAGTGGCTGGCCTAGGGTTATTTCTCGTGACCATTGTACACAGCTGAATGTTAATCGACTATGCTGATGATATTCCGGAGAAGCTGATGGCGCCGCCGAGCTAGCCTTAACAGCGATAGCTGTGACGATTGATGTCACAGGGATAAAGCAGAAGTTTGATTGGGAGATTCGTTTACGTACGTCACAATCTGTCGGTGGAACGGGTCACGCACGGCTGTCTTCTGCCAATTGGTTTATTGAGGCGGGCCGTTAAATTTAACGGTATCTTAGAACATGGAAATGGTGACATAATCACATGTTCGCTAATTTATGGAGATGGTTTCAGTTAGTTTAGTGCAATGGAAAGACCCCCGATGCCACGTCTATAGATAATACAAAATGTATGCATAGAACAGATTTTAAACAATAACAAAGCCCTGCTATATGCCAATGCAATGATTTATAACCCTTCATAGCACGAATTGTGCATTGTAGTTTGAGAGCATACGACGATGGCCTTGTGGGGGTGCATCGTCACACAGTAGGATACTTTTTGCTTTCGTAGTTCTTTATATTTTACTTCATATAGATATACATGCCAGTAGGATTGACTTCAAAATTTTCAGTTGTCTTCTTTGCAAAGCACAATAGGCATCTGGATAACTTGCAGATTTCAGCGTCCGATTTTAGCTCGAGCTGAAGCCCCAGACGAGGTACATAAGTAGACAGGTAATGAATAGCACGTTAATCGCTCAGGGCTTAATTGCTTGTCCGACTTCCGAGTGTTTGAAATTATTGCTTCTAACTTAAACTAGTAATTCAAGCTGAATGTCACCTAAGTTCTACCGAACAGAATATTTGACACTTACCTTTACAACAGATCTAGTAAGTACAATATTTCCTTCACCTTCACGCTATCGTGAGCTGTAATCTAACAATAATACATTTACATTTTAAACGGTCCAAAGGTGAAAATCTGTAAAGTAGTCAGTCAATGGGATCATCGACCGGTCTGAACGTGCATTCGGGGGTGGGAGAGAATGGTGGGGTGATGTAGGGGAAAAGCTGTCGATCAAAGCTGACCGTACTACCTATAAACAGCAAGTTTTCTTGCTCGGTCTTCAGACTGGTCGTTGACGTTGCATGTTGCTTTCCGGGCTTGGCCTAGACCAGACAGACAACGATGCTTAGGTCTGATCATTGTGAGCAGCGAGCTGCCGCTGCCGCTTATTGGCCTCTCGTCGCTCGCTTCTTGTCAATCGATTTGGAGCTGTCAAGTATATATATATATATATATATATATATATATATATATATATATATATATAGCCACTGAAGTATTTCGATGATTTGCGGTTAGGATCACAAGTTTGCGAATCGTCGTTGGTTGCCCGATATAGTAGCATAGCAACACTATTAACCTCCGTGATGCTATTGTCAGGCACGACACACATATATGTATATATCATCTCGAGCCATGAACACAGGAGCTCTGCAAATTGAATGAGTTATCTGAAAATGAGACTATGGCCATAAATGAGAGCTTCGAAACTAGTACCGGTATGACTTCGACCAGTATATTTCTACAGGCGCGGTTTTCTTGACCATTACGCGCATTGTGTGGATCGGACGAGGCTATGAGCTATACACACAGATAGAAAAAAGTAATATGTCCAAATAACAGACGGCTACAGAGGCATCAATCGAACAAAGCTGACGGAGAGGACATTCTGACATACAGCAAAAAACAATAACAAACAGAAAACGATTTAGAGCAATAGTGACATATCAAGACCCGAGCTTGTTGAACTCGAAACATATTAGTATTAAACGAGCTGTTTAACTGTTGCTAATTTCTGTTCAAGGTTCGAGTGAAAACTATCACAGTTTTTCCTCTTTAGGGAAAATGATAGCAAGATA